TTATTTGATGCAAGCGGGATGCCTGGTAACCAGCAGATGTAGCGTTTTTACATAAAGAATCACAACTCTCCATTCATGCCCATGGTTACCATCATAATCACTGCATTGTTCAATGTGCACAAGTTGATACAATACGCGTTTTAAATGCTTTACTCTTTCATCACAAAAGTATTATTTGCACGTAGAAAACTGTTTCAACCTGTGTCATTTCATGCAGCAATTAACACTCCCTTGCGAATCAGGGTAGAAAAATAATAAACTTGAATGCTTATGACGATTTTTCACCAGGTTTTACATTTTTGAAAAAGCAAAGGCGAAATTTGTTGCAAGAAAAGAGAGTTCAAATATGTCTGAAGTAATGTTATTACGAAATGAAATTATCCGCTCTCTGTAAACAGAGGGTCATAGACTGTTAGAGTTGTAAGAGGCCGTAGACACGGTTTAAATGCAAACTCAAATACACATATGCACGCCAGAAATGTAAGTATGGAAAGTGACACTACACAAGACGACAAAGAATTACAGAAGTAGACATTCACTGCGTTCAACAACGTCCTACCGGTCCAGTGGCGCTTGTTCTTAATAGTTTGGCTGCAAAATGTCATTAAACGCAGCTAGTTTTTATAAAAATTACAAATTTCTTGGAACACAGCGAGTACACATGTCTCGTCTACATATTCAGTATGGTTGGCATACAATTGCAAATTAGATAACGGCTGTTAATCCTTAGCCTCATACGTTGCAAATGCGCCAATCACGTCGGGTCAAATTTGACATGCATCGTCACCTATACTACGATGATCAGGTCTATCATGTGGATGGCCGTTTTGACGAAAATAATGCAACTTACTATTGCTAACTTTATATATGCTATTTTTGGCAGGTTAAGTAAGGGGGAATGTTCTCTGTAGCATGTGAAAACTTTTGTGTGCCTATTTTTTCGAATACGTCGATTAACGCTCCTCTCTATATGCCAAACTACAGCGCACCTTATCTGTTTATGTGTTACGTAAAATGTATTGATGAAAACATGTATTGAAAACACCCAATAAATAAAGGCAGACAAGTTGGTTTTCGAAAACAACTGAGTGCATTGGCAGGTGTCATCGGTCGTACGGGTGCCTCGTCTGACTTCCAAATTGTTTTATCCTGTTTTCCCTCATTCAGTATGAAATTTAATTTTCCGTCTGATGGCGTGTATCGCGCATCTAATGGCCAGCATGGAAGGGCAAAGATATTATAGGTTGCAGCACGCTGTCATCGTCCCCACTGCACTTAATGCCTATTCTTCATTGTAAACAATAGTCGTGCCTTTAACCTATCATTATAGTCCGGTTGCAGTGGCTTGGATGGTTGACACTTTACGAGATAATTCATTTCTCTCAACACTGGGCATCAGGCTGTGATAGTTGCTTCTTCATTTGGCCACCAAAACACTCCCATTAAGTACGATCCGAATCTGGTTCATCTTGCGCGGACCAGACAAGAATGTGTCCTACGCAGACGGGCTGTTTAGCATAGCGTCAGTCGCCAAACCCGATGGCATTTCAGGTTCTTCTGACTCTGTCCTCTCAACGAGATCAAAGGGCTGAGGGAGGAGTACGCCACCACCTTTGCGTTCTTCACACTGTGGAGCACAAAGTGGACATCGTTCCTCATCATGTCATTACGTCCCGTTGCATAAAATACTCCTCCACACTTGGGCTCACGCTGTGTAGATTCATTTCTGTTTAAAAGCATAGTCTGGTGACCTGAAGCCTCAACCCAGTGCTTCACATTAATGCCTTAACTGCAAACTTTGCAGACAAAAATCCGGCTTCACTTCGGACTAAATATGTCTGGGCAACTTGATCGTCACCAAGCAGCTAAAGTGAATTCTGATACACATTACACTCTCATTATCTTATTCATATGAAGTACGTGGACGACCTGCCTTATGAAAGAGGCAATCAATTGGATATTAACGGGACAGTAAACGAACAGTTAACGAAATGCTGAAAAACGAAAATGCAGAAGATAAGCATGTTGCGTATTCCAGCTCACGATGGCCGAACTGGCTTTTTGACTAGCCTAAAAATTATCTTCTCCCAACTCCACACTCCGCATCAAGGGCAAAATGGTTGGGGCTTTCTCTCGACCTAGACTATTGCGACAGGACCATACGGTTTGAATAACACAAGTTTGAAAACATCATCAAGTATTCACTAGTTCTGTCTTGAAAAGTAATTTTTATCAACAAATCATTTATTTTAAATAAAAAACAAGTTTCGATTCCAACGGAAAGGTAAAGCCCCATCGCGTAGCCAGCCGCTTAGGGTGAATGTTTATATAGAGCGTAAAAAGAACGGCATCGGGCCTACGCAGAACGAGACCCTTACAATGCAACCCAACTGTCAGATATCATCTTTGGTTTGTGCAGATGTTTTTAGTCTGGAAATAACTATGGTTTTAGATTGACGATCAGAAGAAGACTATAGCTGTCTGTTATAGAATCACGGAAAAATCAAACCACTGGCAAACCCCAACATGTCTAAAGGCATTGAAGACTATCGTGAAATCTACAGGTCTCCGGCACTGAAACATATCTGGTCAATTGTCTGCACACCCGAAATACCGTCAAAGGTGAAATTTAAAGCATATGGACTGTAAAACCACCTTAGAAACAACGCCTGATCTTAATAATTTGCTTTATTTACAACTATAGCATTTGTCCTAAGTAAGCATTGCTTGCCCGATGGCGACGCATCTTATCCTCTACCATGCTAGGACGGTTAATTCTAGTGTTGCTTTTTGTCTAGAATCATCCAACACTAAACCCTTGGCCTGCCTAATCCGTAATGTATTTGAGCAACCTGCCTAAAATTCGTCTGATGTGACCTTCAACGGAATTTTGCCAGGCAGTAAGTAACTGCAAAGTACCTCCTTTTATAATTTCACATGAAGGCTTCCACACAAAGACATGGAATTCAAGGTTAAGCCGTGACTGCTATAAGCGCCGCCTCAGTATGAAGTAAATCGGTAGTGTAGTACTCAATGTATGCATACCGATGTCTAAAGGATACACTGTTTTACTCAAATACAGCATTTTTTGTAATGGTGAAAATTGTACAGCCACATCGTGCGATTAATGGTTTCGTAGTTTGGTTTACTATAAATGACGTTCATTGATTAATGCGTTTACGAAAGATCCTTTAGGAAAATGTGCAATACACATTAAATTAATATGAGTTATATGACCATAATGTTCAGACAGTGCACAGTATTAGTTGAAACATGCTTGCCTCATGCTGCCTTGCTTTACTGGTAGGCGCTCAAACCTGCTACCGCTTTAGAGGTCATTTGATTGGTTCAAGTTTCATTTCTAATATTGTTCTTAACACCCGTCAAGCCTATTTAGGTGACGTTATGTGCGTCAGTCAGACGACCTCTTAGAATGTATAAATATACGAAACATAGGAAACGTTTCGCTTACACAAGGAATCTCGAAAGTAAGTTACAGCCGCAGCATGTTCAGACATCGACCTGCTTTTGGGCGATTGTATCGTGTGTATTTCTATTATAATATTTCATTGCACTGATGGTAACTTTACCATATTTTAGTGTCATTAATTGCACTGAGCATTTTATCCGCATTCTTCATAATCACATTTGGTAAGTACATTGACAAAATAAGATGTGCCTATTTGAATTTCTTCGCAGTAATTTTCAGAAAACTTTCAATCTTTTGCACCTGAGTGCTTGTCTACCTTCTAGGCAACCAGGAATCCACTTACTATGTACTACCCAATGCAAACTTTACAGTCATATGGCATTTTGCAGGAAAACCGACTGTAAGATTCCATACTCGTGCGATAAACTGCCTTTGTTCAAAGTTATAATTTTTTTAAATTTTCATAATTATCATTTTATATGGTGTTTTTGTAGTCAATTATGCTAGGGAATATGTCCGTTGCACAAGGCGACCGCTCAAATCCTTGCAAAGTTGGCGTATTCTGCTGGCAGTTGTTGAATGGTAAGTTTGCACTCACATCAGGCCACCCCTTCGACCAATTTTCAGCCTATAACTCCCATCTATTTAACACTTCGGATTGTTGAGATCAAGTTAACAAATTTAAGTCCGCCTAACAAAACATGCATTTGCCTTTTAGATAAAGAATATTCAGCACTTCAGACACAGTCAGTGTCCGGAAATGGAAGTATTTTTTTAACAGCAAAGGGTAGTCGTCAGTCCACTTCCGAAATAGTCGTCATAAGTATGAACGGATCTTTGCCAAGTAAATGCGATGTTTATTTGAATTATCTTATGTGATATTCAGGTTACTTGGAACAATACTATTTTACTGATAAATGTTATTGTTTAATTAAAGGCGTCATATGTCAGTTTAAGCACTTGTCAAAAACAAGCGCTCTGAAACTGTAGACGGTATGTTCAGATGCGTTCTGAATGCTTCCAGCTAGCAGTAATCGTCTTTCAGTCCCAAAAGAAAATGAAAATACAAAAACGAGTTTCTCATTCTAGCGCTGGCAATGGAGTCACAATGGCCATCATGATCGCGTTAGAAATTTTATTGTCGCATCAATGTTATGCACGAAGGCAGCAACTCTCTGGTCATATAAGTGTGGGGTTGTACGGCAGATGGAACAGACGGTATCACCGATCCAAAAGTTAAATGACACATTAAATGTCCCACCAGACTGACGTCAAATACTTCCAAAATATGCGTAAGAGCATATGACCTTTCTGTATAATGAAGGACATTCTTACCAACGACTACAACCCTCCTACACGAAATTAGACCTTTTGTAAACTGAGACTGAAATATTCCAAATAGTGGAATAACACACTTCAAAACACGATTTGAGAGTTTTCTTTTCGCAAATATCAATGAAATTATTGCATATTTCGGGGACGACTAAAGGCTGTTTAACACGCAGATTCAACGTTTCCGGAAGAAGTGGGCTCACATGGAGTGCTTCATATAGATATCAATAATCCACCTATGGTATACATAGTATATGATGCGGGCGTTTGGGTAAGCTGTTTATTTTGCTCCTATGACTCAAAAGTTACGACCATGTCTACTGTTGATTTCTTAGCATATTCTGTTTTTCAGGACACAAAAACCAATGGGACTGTGCAGATCATAAATGCGACGTTTAACTCATTTGATAAGCACTTGCTTACAGTCCCCTATCGTAAGTCTGTATTTTTAAGCAATTCACTCTCTATGACACTTGACGAATGATAAATCGGTTGGTGCCATCAAAATTTACCATATGTTTGACAGTTGATTTCGTTGTATATTAGCCAACTTTCATCCAATATAACAAGCAAAATATATTACTGTTGACATAATCTAAGTCAAGGAAATAGCGCATGCAAATTTTCATATTTTATTATAACTAACAGTTGAGGATAAATGTAATGAATATTTGCTGAGGAGGAGCTATGGCTGTTCTCATAATGTCTGCTGTTCACTATGGGGTAGTCGTCAACATATTACGGCCTTGCGCCGGGTTGTCTTATCATAACGTTTTGTGTCGCGTGAGGTACATGTCCGAATAGAAGGATTTCGATGACAAACTGAAAATGTTACTTTGGCCTCCGGAGCGAATTGGAAAAATTTCCCTCATATTGTTGAATGCAAATAAAGAGCAATAAGATGCATTAGTGCATATATTTAATTTGCACATTTATCCCAATGGTAATTTCTTTGGTACGTAAACTGCATGACTTTTTATAAAAGAAGAATTTTCTTTATTTCAAATTATCGAAAGTCCACAGGCTTTTCAAAGGAAAGGACGCGGTTATGCTGACTGGTCACATAAGAAATGCGGCTCTTTACTACAAAATCAAAGTCAAGAACGGTATGGAGATCTTGTCTGTAATTCCAAACGCTGCATTTGTATCACCTAGAGTAATCCACGTTTCATTCAACAACACGGAGGACAGTGCTTGGTTAACGCAGGCACTGCGCATCCCTGGATGTTAATAATCGACGCCAACAGTTTTCGAAATTCGTTAAAATCAGTTTCTCTTTTTCTAAATGTATGCCGTTAAATAAACGAGAACATTATAACGTTATTAATGACTTGTTGAATGGTGGTAAACATATGGCCGGCATACCGATCAAATGAGAACGAAGTACACATCTGGCATAAGCACTGAGTAGTATGATATGGAGAGGTCAAAAGCGATCAGATTTTTCAAATTGCTAATCATCATTGGTAGTTGCGAAGAAATGAGAATGATTTCGCTAAGACAGACAACTACCCCTGGCACACCGCAAACGCGCAAGTATTTGACTTTGATAGAAAACCATCCGGCTGAGCGATCGCTGACAACTTTTACAGTCGCCTCTTGAACGATTAATTTTCAATATATCAATATTCACGGAATGTATTTCAGGTTGTCTAAAATCCCAAAATTTTCGGATTTCTGCATCAATACTATGTGGTGGGGACTTCGAAGAAGAGCTTCGTTCCTCACCTACTGAAGGGGATTTGCACAATGTACAATGAAGCAATCGTGCCTGGTCCATTTGAAGCTAATCCTCCGGGAGCACTTACGAAGATTTGATTGATGCTTCTGTAGGAGTACCTTGCTGATACTTCACTGTCCTCTGGGACCATGATTAAATGTAAAGGATTTAAATCACAACAAGGCAAACACTTGCGCTGGAACTATGGGCAAATACTGGTGACCATCAAGACCATCTGAGCACATTACCAAGTTAGACACCAATGAGATTGTTCCGCTATTCTGCTTTTCGACCGCATCTTCAAACCACGAACATGAAGGTCTTAGAACGCTGCCGAGGCTACAGTCGGTTTATGACTTCTACCCTTCTTTATGCCCTGAAGTAAAGAAAGTTACGACTTCAAGCACTGCTGAATTCATTCGATGCACCTTAAGCTGAGAGTTTGCGGTCCCCATAATTAATGGCAAATTTTTCGCGCACATTCAGTATGGTGAACTCGTCGTTTCCGAACCGGCAGCACTTCTCTGTAATTTAAGCAATCTGCATCGAACGGAAGAAATCGATTATGCGCTGATCAAAAAATTCTATTACTTGCTTTACTGCCAATACATCCGCACCGTTGTTTACCAGAAGGTGCAGACCCCGACACGTGACGGGCGTTCGCGACACATCACGACCAGATTGGTGCATCCGCATTTCAGGCGAAACCCGCATTGGCGCAGTGCTCGGCAAATAGATTTTGCACCGTTGGAAAAATTTACAACCAGATGTACGACAGCAAAAGTTCGCATGCGAAGCCAAATCAAGAAGACACTGGTTTGGTCACTGTCTTTGAAGTCCAAGCAGACTGCAAAGAAATATGAAGCATTATAAAAAGATGAATTACAAAAATAATAAATCCACGGGGTCACAGTTCTCGTACATTCGTAAGGTTTCGCTAAATGTCAAATTGGCGGATTAGTAGGTTTCCTAAAAAATACGTATTTCACACTTAAAAACTCGAGAAAACCACTCAGAAGACAATTGTACACTAATGCCATCTGCATAAGTTCCATCATTTGAACCGTTTACTTACTATGCCGTAATTTTACATGAGGCAGAATGCAGAATTGAAAGCGAAATTGCCTTTATTGTTCGTAAATTCGTTTTATCGTCACAAAAGCTGAACGTGCCAAATCTACAGCATACACTACTTGTCTGTTCAGCAATTTCTCTAGTCCGTAACGGGGTGTGTCAGCAGAACTCCCTTCTTTGCGGGAAATATAATGTTCGTTAACACTCTTTTCAGTTAAAATTTGTTTCAATGGAAATATAAATATACGTTAGTTTTCGATAAATTCTTTCCAGGTCGGTCTATTTATATTGCTATCTTGATAACCAGGAAACGGAGGCAAGAGGAAGCTATTTTTTGCAGGCGTGTTGTGGGAGGCGGAGGAGTACGTGAAGTGAAAAACAACATTACCGTCAGTATTAGGGGGGAAGAGAACGTGGTCACTGAGACAGGTGCAAATATGTAGGCGGCAGGAAGTTCCTGTGCGAAGTTCGTCTGTGCGCATTTTTTGACATAAACGTCCTTTAGATGCTAAAGTGTCCCTCAGAGAATTTGTCCTGCGGCATATACGAAACACTGTGCATCTGCCAAATCACAAACGTGTGATCTGCTGAGATAGGAACGGAGTCTAGATATTGACAGGAAAAGGGATGAAGGACATTTAAGCTGTCATCTACGAGAAGATTACTTTCTGTTCTTGTCTACGAAGGAAGGCGTCTATTTTGTGCGCAGCTGCCGATCATCCGAAGTACTAAGTCTGCGACCTAGAACGCGTGGTGTTTACACAAACTCCATTAGTGTCAATTAATTTATCAGACTATGTCATAGCTTGTTCGACAAAAATGATGACGCAGGAAGGCAGAAAATGTGAAAACGCAACAGTGTTTGCCTTTAAATTTCTACGCAGTAGCACTACAATGCTGCCCCCAATAACAAAAAGTGGACTCAGTCACTTCAAATTGGTGGCCTTCGGCCTCCGCTGCTGACAAGAATGCAGCCCATACCCTTTATCTCTGTTTTTTTAAGTGGATCTTGCTGTACTTCAAGATAACCATTTTATCGGTGCTATATTATGTGTACGCCCGGTGATGTTCTGGTTTATGATCCGTTGGCTATCTACTGAATGTAACATAGCTAACTTGTAGGTAGTTAGGCCGCTCCAGGTTCAGGTTTGAAGATAATGTTAATGCGTATGGACGAGGTCATTGATTGGTGATTCGAATGTTTTTTTGACATTTGAAATAGGTGTGCCAAGTGCTGACATCTGTTGTATGCCATTGCCTACAAGCAAACACTCCAGGATCAATGTTTAACTGTTTTACAGCGTGCTATCAAACAATAATGGTCGTACAATGGATTTTTCAGTCGTCGGTTTTTCAAGTTTTTGTCTACCATGGCATTTGGACATGTCGGCAAATATATTTACTGCCATAATTAACCATTACAAATGCTAAGATGACTTGAACTTGTTTTATTACATGGAAAAGTTTACATAACTAAGATAATGCAAGAAATTGAGATATAGGGATGTGCTACTTTGATTAGTGACCCCATGAAGGATGTCGTCCTCAGAGTAGGCTTGAGTCCATCAATTATCATAAAAATCCCTGCTTTTTGGTAGTTGCGCAGTCAATCATAGTTATGACAAATGCAGACATTGCAATTACAATATGATAGTACTTGATATAACATGCATAGCGTTTTATCCAAAACAAAAATTGCCTACTATTTGGGGATAGGCTGAATCGCACCTACTTTCCACGGACCACATCATGGAACTCATAAGCCACTGACCGTGATTTTCGTTAAAGTTGAGGATGCTTTCCATTCTCCATTTTTTCAAAGGATTTCTCGGCTAGAAACCCTTTAAAAATAATTTTCCATAGAAATTGGGTACCAATCAAACATCGCTGCCTCACCAGCAGTCACGTCTGCTTAAAACAGACCGATTCCCTTTCATTCTCTCGTATTTGTCTTTCTTATAATGTAATTTTGTTATATTCTAAGTTAGTTCCGTGCAAAACCTGATCAATCGTTACCACAATGGGAAGGGATGGACGGACTACATTAAAAACCTTACTTATTTACTTCCCAAAATTTTAGCTATCGTGTAAAGTCCTCACAAAATAATTAAGCAACTAGTTAGTAAGTAAGCATCGTTATAATAGCCAATAAATCTTTCCGGTTCAGATCACGCACTTATAAATCAACTGAACAATTTCGGTAATTTTAGCGAAGTGAGGCATAGTTTTAGTAGCATCTGGTGAATATTTTAATAGTATTGTTTAAACAAGTGAGACAAAGTCTATTGTATCATGTTCATGAAAATATCGCCAAAGATTTATGTTTATTTATTTCAAGTGGAATGTCTCTTCACCAGCAAACGTATAGCTTTGAAATAAAAAATCACACACCTTACTTGTTTCCATGGTTATCATCGTAAGCACCACATTGTTTAATGTGTACATGCTGACACAGTGCACAGTTTAAAGGCTCTGCTCTTTTGTCCTCAAATCCTTATTTCTATGGCAAACAGTTTAATAATGTGCCAATTCATACAGTTAATAATACTCTTCTGCAACAAGCAATAATTCTATTAATCAGAGAGTTAGCATAATAAACACGAATTAGAAATTTATTAAGTAAACTCGAGAGAGATTATGAGAAATGGCCGCTAAATGAAGTGGATTTTCCCGCTGTATGCGTACATGAGACTTGCGTCTAATATTTTGAAAATATCGAAAAGAGCACACAAATATGATATATTCACGGAAACGTTAGCTGATTAGCAGAACCACACAACACCAAAGGATGCTTTTGCGTCCACGGATGAGCGTATTTTATATTTTGAATGAAAAGTGTTTAAACTGTGATCTTCTTGTTTTCGTTTTGGAAATGTAATGGAAAGCATTGCATATTTCTGGGGCGTAAAATGTCTATTTTGCAAGTTTATTTAATCTTTCTGGAGGGATTGGGCTTAAATGAAGTGTTTAATACAAACACGCAAGTCCACTTCTGGTGTACAGTGAGTGAGTGACCGACTTCATAAAATTTTGACTGTTTTCCTGAAATGCGCTTTAAATGAGGAAGAATTGCTCAGGCGCACTTGAATTACTGATTATCTTGCGGCATATTTAAACATATTTTATACACGGCAAGAATAAATGGGCCTTTTTTCAATCGACTGGTATAGAGTCAGGTCATTAACAGGATTTCGAGGTCTTAAAATAATCTCATCATTAAAAAATTTTTTAAAACCTTATTTGTCTCCTTCTTCGAATATTAACTATAAAGATGCCATAAGTCGCTATTCAACAACGGAAAGAGGGCATATTTTAAATCGTGGTTTATATGAAATAAATTAAAATTTGCAACACTATCGAACATCAGTGGGAAAAAAATGCATGCTGCATAAGTAGTCAATTTTTGACCGAATACGGTTTCCCCAGGAGATTGAAAA